CAAATCAGCGACGAGTCAGACTGATGGCGGGAGAAACGCTGAAACAGTTGACGAACTGGATCAGGAAGTCTCAAGGCAGTACGAAGGAAAGCCGTTAGGTTTCAGAGAGGATTTTGTGAAGCCCGAAGTTCTTCGCCGATTCCGGTCCACCATTGATGCTGTTAAGCCTGGAGACTTCCCAGAGCCGACTGTTGAGGATCTCCGAACCAAGTATGGTACTGCCGAACTCAAGCAATATACTAGCGTCAGATATGTTGAGCCAGGCCAGAGCTCGGGTCGGACCGATGACAAGACAAAAGCTTGCAATAAGTCGTCGACTACTACATATCAGGAAGCAGACGGACTCGTCTTCGCCCAAATGGAGCAGGATCAAGAGGCGTTGAATGCCAAGATTGAATATCAAGCACCTCAGCATATCGAATCTGAGGATAATTCCAATGGACAAGCGACTGGCCATGATACTCTGGAAAGGCTGGCCTCTGTCAAACAGGGTCATGGCAGGAAATCTGGCATTGTACAAGACACGACCAGTGGAAAAGGAGATCACATGGTACACGAACCTGAGAGTCCGGCTTCTCTGCTACCAGATCTCGAGAGGCTGGCTTCAGTCAAGCAAGGTCAAGGTAAACAGTCCAACTACAGAGAGATGCTAGAGTCGCTCATGAGCCGGCACGAGCAGTTGTCAGACGCGCACGATCAGGAAGCCACTTTGGCCGTCAAGTTGGCGAAGGTCAAGAACCAAGAAGTTGATGCACCGAAGCGCAAAGTCACAGGCAACTACGTTCGTGACTTTCCAGAGGAATTTGAAAAATCGTGGACGCAAACTTTATCTTCGATGCCTACCGAGGAACAGACATCGTACGAGACCGAGATTACGGCCGAGAGCGAGGCTATGGAAGGGGGACTGGAAGGTGCGTTTGGTGGTCCCTCACCCTCGAGAATCCAGCCAGCTCTGGACCGATGTGGCGGCGCGAAAACGGAGGTCGACCAGGATAATCAGGGGACGAATGAGGGACAAAGTACCGGTGCTTCATCCAAAGAAGCGAGTGAGGTTCAAATCAAGCAATTTGATAGCCCTGGTGATGCGAAGGACGAAGTGATCCCGGCTATTCAGGAAGAGACTAGCAATGCCAGGGAAGATGAAGTCAAGAGCCACGCAGCTCAGGAGTCACACGAAGCTTCTGAAGAGACGACTTCCATCCCGCAGAATGAACCCATCCTTTACAAAATCCTGGCTTATGACCCGATCATGCAGAAGATCAACATGGCAGAGACCACCTCCTTCGTCCCGGACTTCACCTCAGCGCTGTCACCAGCCGATGCCCTGCTTCGCATCTCTCACCCTACCAAGTTCTTCCCTCACTTCGCTAGTCTCGAGGCCGAAGGATTCGAGATTGCTTCCGGCAGCGGTGATGTGCTCGTCTTCCGCAAGGTCCGACCCTCAAGACCATCTGAGCAGATCGAGGAGACGCCTACCGAGACTACCCTCCCAGCTGCCGAGCCGCCGTCGTCCTCGTCGTCGTCTGCCGAGGAGTCCCCAGTGAACCCTATTGACATGACCGGGCGTCCGAGGGTGGTTTCCCCTGCCAGTGCAAATTTCGCCTCACCGACGGGTTACGTCAAGTACGAAAATCTGCCCGAAACCGAAGCAGACAAATTACCGCCGCCGCCGCCGCCGTCATCATCACGTGTTGCGTACAATATCAACCTGCGGCGCGAGGAGCCTGTCTTTAGCGGCCCTAAGCATAGCTTCTATGGTGAGCAGAGACGCAGGAAAAGTCTTGGGCATAGGCTACTTATCGGTGGTGTGTGGGTCGCGGGGATCAGCTATGGGCTTGGGGTCGTGTCTGAGTACTTCACAACAGGCGGGATGGACGGGATGGGTCCCCAAAGCCTCTGAGATGCTGCGCTCCCTTCAACGTGGCAAGTGATCGATGAAGTGACAAGGAGGCATACGTTGTCTGAAGATGGCTTGTCATGGACACATCAAACGAAACACGAACCTGTACTGTATGGACAATGGGTAGGAGGAGGGCGGATGGCGTTCTGGGTCTGGATTGACATGATGGGAGGAGGACTGTTCATGCTGGGATTGCTTTATACTCCTCTCCTTTCAACTATTCCAGCTTTACCCTATACCACGAAAGGACGTTTGTTTCCTGGGTCGGAGTTGGATAGATATTGTATACACAGCCCGAGGACTCCCAATTCAATTTATCTTTTTAAGACTACCAAACCATCGTCGTCACATGTAACTTTGTTATCGGGTGAACGTTTTACCACATGCCATACTTCTGTCCACGAACACAATACGCCCAACTCGTCACCTGCGAATGCAATCTGAATTTGAATGCTATGAATGCTATGCACAACTTTTCCACACAGACACCAAACCCCACCTATGCTCAAATACCTGTACTACCAGTCCGTAATGTCAATCTGCAATAGATCAATCCCTCCATGAAAACCGCCCCCTCATGCCATTCAAACATTCCAAGAAGTTCATCTCATCTCGTCACATCACCCCAACCCACACCCTCAAGAACCCTCACTGAACCCCTGCTCCTGTGCACCGGCACCCGGTCCTGCCCCGCTCAGCGCTCCCGAGGCGGCCATCATGGCGCGCTTGTGTTCCTGGTGATCAAAGCTGAGTGTGCGCTGGGCTGGGGGCGGCTTCCATTCTGAAGTGCGGCGTTGGGCCTCTGCAGCGGATTTTTCAGTGGTGGGCGAGACCGGAGCGGCCAGGCGCGCAGCGAGGTCAGCGTCCGGACCGCCAAAGTGGGAGGTGTTTTGTTGTTGTTGTTGTGCGGGTTGAGTGGTGGACATGTTGGGAGGGTCTTGAGCAGTGGGTGGGGTCCGGATTGGAAGGTTGGTCGTTGTAGGTAGTATTTGTGAGGGAGCCAGATTTGAGGTAGTGTGCGGGATCTGAGGGGACTGTAAAAGGAATTGATTTGAGAATGACTGATGTCTAACAATTATGGGCGGGAGTTCCTTTTCTTGTGCGTTGAGAGCTAGGAGGCGTGAAAGGCTTTATTTAGGGATATTCGAACATTTGGCAAGATGAAGAAAAAGACCAAACCCAATGTGACAGAATCAGATGCAACAGAGCCAAAACATCATCATCCCACACGCGACATCATACCACAGCTTGGAGGGAGGCAGTCGCCACCTGCTCATCAGCATCCAGTGGGGCTTCTTCATTGGCCAATCCCAGGTATCACTACTCTGCGGGGTAGGTCCAGCTTGCATCGACAACAAAGCTGCCGGGTGACGATACTATGTTGTATGGAGCATGTACAGACACGCTTATCGCTGACTACGGTATAGAACTAATGACGGTTCTCTTGGCTGAGTTTAGTGGGGTTGTAGCGAGCGCCCTTGAACCAGATATGCTAGGTACCTTAGGTACCTACCCACCTCTGGTAAGACAACTTTCACAAACGATATAATGTGGGCGACCCATCCTCCGGCTCTTGTATGATATTCAAGTTCTGAAGTCTGGTATTTCTTACCAGGGCGTCTGCAATATAGGAACCGTCAATTTATGCCTTGCATGAACTGTGAGTATGTTAGCAGCCGTCTCACAATTAATTCCGTCTTTCAAGATGGTTGGTGTTGCAAGGCATACCTTCCCAAACTCTCTCCGCGCAGGCCGGACCCAACGGGTTAGTACACAAGTAGGTAGAGTGGCCGGAGCATAGACACGAAAGCAAAGCTACTATGTTATAGGATTGCGTGCTCGACGATTAGAATATCGTATGGCTATATGGCGTGCCACATGCTGTTGGACTGGTTCGACTAGGTGGTGGTAGCATCTGCAGTGGGGCAGGGATTATCAGCCGGAGGTCGCACAAAAGAGGTAGGCCAACAACTGGTTTACATGGTGGATCGTCTTGAATTGCTCAATTCATCCCGGTGTCATCAAGACGAACTTGGTGAACGGTCCTACCTTCAGTCAGAAGCTCGTGGTACATCTGCCAAACATCGGCTCGATGCTAATGCCGGAACAAACAATATACAACCTCTCGTGGGCCATTACAACAAAGAGGGAGAATGACAAGGATGGTGATTTGATACGAGCTATTCGGAATGTTTTCGAACGAGAAGACCAAGGCAAGTGAGGATCCTGTATTGCAGAACAACTTGCGGGAGTGGACGGAGACCGAGATTGCCAGATACCTGTAGAGCTTCTATCTTGAGCACAGATTACCAAATCCTTTGACAGCAGGTGTCATCGATTACTGAAAAGACTGAGGATGGCTTCGATCTTGCATCAAATGTAATGTCGAATGATTGCTGTTGTGAATTTTACCCATCCTTTAATGTCCGCATGACATGTCTAGGTTACAGCAAAATTTCAGAGAAACCGACGTCGAATGCTTCATCTGGCTCACTACCGCGATGAGAACTCTCTCGAATGCTTCAACAAGGCCACATTGGTGATCAAAACGGCCAGTATCTGTGAGACGGAAAAGGGATGTCCTGCTACAAGCGCTTGGTGGTGATTGCCATGTATGACCAGGCTGGCTCTCGCCTGCGCTTATTGACGAAATGCCATACACCCGACTTTTTGCTCCAGCTAGCCGGAATTATAATTATGTAGTTCAGCTACTACTAGTATCGATAAATTGGGACCTACTTTTGCACGAAAACAGCCTGACTTTGCGAAGTATTTGCATAATTTATACGCCGTGTTGAGCGGCCGTTAATAGTAAGGCTACATTAATTATATTGCCGAATGCGGATTTTCTATGCTTCCATTTTTCCCCCAACCCACGTTTCAGTCATCCCGCCTGTCTAGCTACTTTCCGATTCGAAGACATTGAAACAGATCAGGAATTAAGTCCTGAACTCCAGGCGGTCGATCCCGAACAGAGCAGGCGTGGCCCCATGCGCCTTCCATATCAGAGTAAGTGAGATATGCAGAGTATTCAGAAATTGATGCTTGTGATGTTTCTTGAATATAATTCTCCAATTTCACTGTAAAATATATCTTAAATGGTCCCGTAGCTCAGCTGGTTAGAGCGTCGTACTAATAATTCTTATAAATAAGAATGATTAAGTGATGCGAAGGTCGCGAGTTCGATCCTCTCCGGGACCATACCTTTTTGATTTTTGATGCATTTTTATACCTTTTGCCTACCTACATGTCCTTCTGTTGGCAGGTCTTGCGTTGCTGTAAAGCGGTTTTGGGTGAAGTTATCGTTGGATTTGTGTGTGTCTGGTCTAAGTCTAACTACTGACCTGGCTGCCAGAAGGCAGCCAGATAGGTCTGCGCCAGGACCCTAACCCTGGGCCTGGCAGGCGTACACAACAGGCTGTGTACGCTCAATCCACTGCCGTTACACCCACACCTTCCTTCACAATCAATTGACGCAGTGTTCAGGCTCAATTAGCATATTACTGACAACCCTCGTCATCCGTGTGGATTTGCAGCGACAATATCTTCCCATGTTCGGGCTTACATATCCAGCACCAACGCTGTGGCCTTGGACTGAGAATTTGTTTTCACTGATCACGACCAGAGATGTGTTTGAGTCATTGCGTATCTTGAATATTGATAACTGCTCAATCAGAAGACTACATCCGCAACCATCTCGTCTCAGTGGCTCTCAGCTCCGCCATCACGAGACTAGATCTGCAGCTCCTAAACTCCCAAGTCACACAGGCCATACTTCTCTTGCACCTTTGTGTTGACCGTGAATCGTGAAGATGCTGGTCAATGATCAAGACCAAACGTGTTGAGCTTTCACGTCAAGCCCAGGTTGGTACGAGTCTTTATATCAACGCAGAGTGCTTGGGCGTTGCTTCACGGAGGCTTCTGCAGATGAGGTTGAGAAGAACACATTCGGAAAAACTCAAATTTTCCAATTCATCAGCGCAAATGATACAAGTTGGGATCTGAATAAGTGTGTAAAGACATTGGTCTACATAGCTTGCAGTCATCAGGCGCACACAGTTCTGGACCCAATATCCGTAACGGGGGGTCAGCTTTAGACAGCTATATAGTTGCCAATTGCGCCAACTACGATTGCAACAGATGGTTCCCCATACCCACTGAGCCTATTTTCTATCCGATTGAATACAATGGATATTGAATCAACTAGGGGATAGTGTATGAGAAGGTGTACTCACTCACAGACAAGCATCTATTAGCAAGGGCCAAGAATCACTTTACATCAACACCCAGACTTCATACTCTGAAGGTATCGAGAAGCTTCACCACTTAATGACTGTATAACTTTTGTTTATCAGGAATATAGGTGGAACTTTATGTGAAAGAAAACAAAAGCACCCCAGTCTTTAAGTAAATACAGAGATATCTGGAAGTGGCAGAGAGGAGCCTCGCTCACTGCGCTAGCTTATTGGTCTTTACCATCGAATTTCGACAGAATGATATTTGATGTTGCAATGCTCTTGTCAGAACAGCTGCAGCTCTGACCAATCAATATGACTTCCACATCAAGGGGAACTCCTCTTGTACAGCTCTTTTGTAAGGGGTTCGTGATATTCCTTCCTTCCCTATGTTTTACACACAAGATTTTGTATGTTGTAATTGGGTCTTTCAGCCTCCACTGCCCTCATCTGCTTCTTGAAAGCTCCAAGGAATACAAAAGCAGCACGAGGTCATGCTGAAGAACCTATGTTATGAAAATGGAAGCAGAGCTACCAATGTTTATACCCAGGTACCTAGCCTTCCAAAACCCCACCGGTGTGAAGGCTGTCGATAGTCTCTGCCCCGTGAAAAGCTCAATGGTGATCTCCTCATGGCATCAATACTCGTTAGAATGTAAGGAGGCGACTCACTCAAATACTATTTGACCTTTCATCCCGAGAAACCTGAGATTTGAAGTACACCCTGCTTTCCTTTCTTCCTCACCTCCACATCAAAACATAGGAACGAACGTTCAATTGTTTCAGTCTCAGCACAAGCTGGTGAGAACGAGTGACAAGCCTCTTCGCAGCAAAACACAGACCTCATGAGAGTTTCCCTCCTGTTCTTGACCAACCTGTCAGTCTCTTTACGTGCTCAAGAGGCGCAACTTCTCACCTAAAGCATCCCAAGAATTTTCATCAGAAGGCAAGCCGACTTGAAAGTTGAAACCATCCCTCAGCTCCGTCAACTCCAAACACTTGAACGGCAGATACTGACACCGCTTCCTACAGCTCATGTCTCAAGGCACAGCATCGAACGAGCTGCATTGAAGAATCGGAGGCAGCGCTTCGTACACTAGCACCACATCAATCGCACAATTTGATCAAGGCAACATGGATGTGGCACAAATGCCGTCTGGTCAGGCGTCACATGAGCCTATCTTAATGGGCATATACGGCATCAGTGGTTCGGGCGTGGAACTCCTCAAGAATCGTTTGCTATTCTTGCTTCGCCAGCGTGGCAACGATGATTTTCAGTGTTTCGATCTCCGATATCATGTGGACGACATGGGGCAAGCCATCGGGCAGCATCCGACAAACCTACCTCGCAGCGAGGATGAACTTGACAATCTCCGCAAGAGTGAGATCGCAGAGATTCGGGAGCGATGTAGCCAAAGCGGCAAGGTCGGTCTCATCCTTTCCCATCGAAGGCTGATTCGCAGCGACCTGGACAATCCCGACGGCGAACCACTCATTAGAAGCGCACGTTGGGGTGTGGATGCGAGCTTTTCGTATGTCTTTTACTACTCAGCATCACCAGCCATTGTTGTCAGAACTCTCCTCGATGACCCGAGCTACTACAAGATCCCCAGGAAGAGATTGACGCAGAAGTTGATCAGAGCCTGGGACAGCAAAGAGGGTACCTCCTTGATGGCCTTCTGCAACAGCCATCGAGTGCCCATGTCGGTTTGTGAGGCAGAACAACCAGGCCTTCCCGAGAGACTCGTGAGCACAATCGTTCGTAATTGCCATTCCAACCAACACCGCGTTGTTGCTGAGGTGGTTAGAGCGATGAATATCGACATAGCTCCCTCCAAAGCTGTGGTACTGATCGAGGCACATAATGTCTTGGCCTGGGATATTGCCTCGACCAAGCTGTGGACCAAGGTATCGTCAACATTAGCATCCTTGGGTGCATCCAGTGGCGCAGCATTTCGGAGAGACCTCTTTATGATCTTGCGCCAGGAAGCCAGTCGCCACGGGGATCGAGCCCAAGCCCAAACACCTCAGGGAATCATGTTGGACCCCGAACTAGAGCGCCTACTTTGGAAGCTGACGCACATGCGAATCCCGACTGTGGTCTTGACCTGTGGGATCAAGAGTACTTGGGCGGAGGTATTCGGGCGGCTCACCATCCAGGAACGTCATGGGATACGGTGTCCGTGGGAGAAGCCGAGTACAGAGCCATACCCAGGGTTTGACGGTAAGGTCAAGGTAATTGGAGGAGGGCGGACGTCTGACGACCTCGTGATCGCACCACCGGACAAAGCGGCGGTTGTCAGAGCCCTCCGGGAGAAGCATGGACGGCGCGTATATGTTATTGGTGGCACCGAATTGGACGTGCCGATGCTCAAGGCTGCCGGGCAGGATGCCTTCATTCGACCCCCTTACGTTGGTGAGATGCACGACAGTGTGAAAGCACTCCTTCGAGAGCACGGCGGACAGGCAACTTATCTCGGACCGCGGGTAGAAGCCTTCAGTTCGGATTGGCAGGGCGTCGGCAGAGACATCTTCGACCTGATGGGTTTGAGTAAGGAGGAAAGCAAGGGTGACGATGACGAGATCCTGAACGACCCGGAAACTGAGATAGAGTATCTGCTAGACCAGGCAGAATTCTCACTTGGGACTCCTTGATGGATTGGTGGGTTCTAAGAATTGCGATTCGCTTGTATGTTGGAAAGGAAGCAGCACTTGCGAGGGGGTTTCAAGAAGAAGTCTACGAAGAAAAGGCATAAATTGTAGCGTAGGGCTCCCCTATACTGCAATCGGACGATGGAAAATGTGCCAACGGAATACATGCCTCTCGAACACAGACGCAAGCACTGGCTGCCGATGTGTGCTGGTGAGAGAAAATATCAGATGCAGCCGCTTCACGTAAAACGTCAACAACGCAAGATGCGCCCCAGAACAATAACTTGACGTACAGTAAGTAGAATGTTGATGCCAGTAAGATCTATCTCTCTCAAGTTCGAAGCTAAGAGAAAGTTCCCTCTGTAGCTAAACCTAGACGTCGTCGTCGGATCTGGACCGGGATCTAGGATCTTGAACAAGGGCGTTGAACGTTCAGCCTCCGAAAGCCGGCTTCATCGTGGACCCCGATTGCTTATCGCGGCTCCGAACGACCAGCCGGATCTTAACGTTGCACTAAGGAAAAACCGCTGTCCTCACCCTGCCCTGCCCTGCTCCATTCATTGCCTTGGAAGTTCTGCTCGCCCTCTGAGATAGTGACGCTTGACGGACGAGTCAAGTCATTGTCTTTGTCATATGTATCTGTCTGGGGGGGTTGAATACCCATTTATTATTATAGTACACGGTCGTCCTCAAGCTACCGTAGAGCCGACTCCAAAGACCTGCAACCTTCCTTTTTATTTTTCATTCGTTGTCCGGAGCCAAAGCATCGCATTTGGATAACTGTTTTTCATTCTTATAGGTCATTGTCATTCGTAGCTACATTTTTAGACTGCCAAATATGGGCTTATCCGCTCCCGTCCGCCTGGCCATCCTCGAGGCCGACACGCCCCTCCCCAACACGAACGCCAAATTTCATGGCTACCGTGGCGTCTTCACCGACCTCTTCCGGCGTGCTGTGGCCCCGGAACCCTTAGAAAGCCACCTTGCCATCACAGGATATGATGTGGTGAACCATCCGGATACGTACCCGGATTTGGACTCCATTGACGCCGTGCTTATTTCTGGGTCCAAGCACAGCGCGTACTTGGATGAGCCATGGATCCTTAAATTGGTGGAATTCACAAAATCAGCTCTGGCCACTGATGGCCGTGTCAAGATCGTGGGTGTATGCTTTGGGCACCAAATTGTGGGCAGGGCGTTGGGAATGAAGGTCGGCGTCAACGAGAAGGGATGGGAGATCAGTGTAACGGAAATGAAGCTCAGCGAAAAGGGCAAGGCGCTCTTTGGCTCTGATGTGTTGGTAAGTACTGTCAG